CTCTAAGATAAAGCTAAACTAAAGCTTAACTAAAACTAAGCTAAAACTAAGCTAAATCTAAGCGACAGCTAAGTTAAAGCTAAGCTAAAGCTAAGCTAAATGTACGATGCAGCTAAGCTAAAGCTAAGCTAACGCTAAGCTAAAGCTAAGCTAAACCTAAGCTAAAGCTAAGCTAAAGCTAAAGCTAGAGCTAAAGCTAAAGCTCCCAGGGGACTGGGGGAACCGCCCGGGGCGCTTTGCACTGCCCCGCCCCTTTAAGCTAAGAGAGTAAGAACCCTTCTAGGCAGAGCCCAGCTAGGGAATAAACATAGAAACTCGGATGTCCGCGCGGATTTCTCGGATCCGCGCCGGACCCCCCTGGCGGCGCCTCCGGCGCCGCCCCTGGCGCGCTCCGCGCGCCAGGGAGGGGGGCCCAGCGCGGATCCGAGAAATCCGCGCGGACCTCCGAGTTTCTATGTTTATGCCGTTCCCCATTCCTCTAAGGAGGGGCTTCAAGGGTGGATTTGCGTTGTTTGAGGCACGTCGCCCTCCGGTTCCCATCCCTCACGACCCCATCTCTGGACCACCGCAAGCGACACCACCACCATCGGAGGGGGCCACCTCCGGCGAGGAGGTCCACGATGCTTCCCCGAGCTGGGGATAATTAGTTAGGGGGCGGTTCGAGCGAGAGGGTGGGGGTGGATCACACCACCAGGGGGAACAAACACCCTTGGCTCCTCCCGCTGGTGGTTCCTGGTGGTGGTGGTGGCGTCGCTTTTCTTCGGTGGCGAGCCCATAAGGGGAATGCAGAGGGGGCGGGCCTTCGTAGAAGGCTCGGGGGTCTTCGGGATTTATGAATAGTTCTCCAAGCTTTCCGAAGAGGCAGAGACGGCTTCTCAGAAGGCCATATGGCTTCTGCGAAGCATTGCCGCCTTCTGGGAAGGCCTGCCCCTTCTCACTTACCCCCCGAGCTCACCGCTGATTGTGAAAGCCTTGCGGCCGGTGCTTCCGACCCTGAGCGCTGGGAAAATGCGGGGGAGGTGGGGAGGTGGAGGAGGAGGAGGAGGAGGAGGAGGAGGAGGAAGAAGAGGACGAGGAGGAGGAGGAGGAGGAGGAGGAGGAGGAGGAGGAGGACGAGGACGAGGACACGAGGACGAGGAGGAGGCGGAGGAGGAGGAGGAGGAGAAATGGAAGCACGAGCAGATCAGGAGCAGGAGCAGGAGCAGGGGCAGGAGAAGCAGGAGCAGAAGGAGGAGGAGGAGGAGGAGGAGGAGGAGGAGGAGGAGGAGGAGGAGGAGGAGGGGGAGGAGGACCAGTGTAAACCCAAGAGGCATCAACGATGTTGGAGTAAACCCTCCCTCAAAGCTCCCTCTTCATAGGCCCCTACAACGGTTCATTTCCCTTGAGGGAACTGCCTCTTTGAGAGACAATCGTTTGAAGACCCTGAAGCATTCAAAAAATCGTTCTCGGGATTCCAACGCCACGGATCATCCTGACTACTGCGTCTTGACAGTACTGAATCGCGCCAGAGCGCCATTCTTTGGACTTCAACACAGCGAATCAACATAACTGTTGCGCAAGCATACTTCTGAACCCTTTTCAGAACACACTTCCTGGCACGTTGATGATGAGAACCCGTGGAACTCTTGCAAGTGTTCAAAAAGAATGCGCGCCGCGCTAAAGCGAGAGCCACATGTTGAAAAGGAACCGCCCTCAATCCGTGAAGCTCTTGCAAATGTTTGAAAACGAATGTGCGCGGCGCTAACGCGAGAGCCACATGTTGAAAAGGTACCGCCCTCAACCCGTGAAGCTCTTGCATGTGTTTAATCAGAAAAAACGAATGTGCGCCGTGCTGAGGCGAGAGCCATACAAAAACGACCCGCCCTCTGTGCGTAAAGCTCTGGCAAGTTGAAAAAACGAATGTGCGCCGCGCTACGGCGAGAGCCACATTTTGAAAACGGCCCGCCCTCAATCCGCGAAGTTCTTGCAACTTTTCAAAACGAATGTGCGATGCGCTAAGGCGAGAGCCACATTTTGAAAACGACCCGCCTTCCATGTGTGAAAATGCTGCGAATTCTTAAGCTTCAGAGTCATAAGTGGTGAGGAAGTTTCAGGCGAAACGCCCGGCCCGCCCTAAACATTGGCCCCTGCGTGCGGCAGGGAGCAGTTATTCATAATAAAAGGAATGGGGAAGCAGGAGGAGGACCAGGAGCAGGAGCAGGAGAAGGGGCAGGAGGAGCAGGAAAAGGAGGAGGGGGAGGAGGACCAGTGTAAAACCAAGAGTCATCAACGATGTTGGAATTAACCCTCCCTCCAAGCTCCCTCTTCATAGGCCCCCACAGTGGTTCATTTCCCTTGAGGGAACTGCCTCGTTGTAAGAGAATCGTTTGAAGATCCTGAAGCATGCCAAAATAGTGTTCTGGGGATTCCAACGCCACGTATCTACCTGATTGCTGCGTCTTGACGAGCTGGAATCGCGCCAGAACGCCAGTTTCAGGACTTCGCAACACCGCGAATCAACATAACTGTTGTACCTGCATGCTGTTGAACTCTTCAAAAACACAATTTCTGGCATGTTGATGATGGGAACCCGTGGAACTCTTGCAAGTGTTTAAAACGAGTGTGCGCCGCGCTAAGGCGAGAGCCACATGTTGAAAAGGAACCGCCCTCAATCCACGAAGCTCTTGCACATGTTTGAAACGAATGCGCGCGGCGCTAAGGCGAGAGCCACATTTTGAAAAGGTACCGCCCTCAATCCGTGAAGCTCTTGCAAAGGTTTTAATGAAAGTGCGCGGTGCTGAGGCGATCGCCACCTTTTGACCCGCCCTCAGTCCGTGAAACTCTTGCAAGTTTTTAAAACGAATGCGCGCGGCGCTAAGGCGAGAGCCACATGTTGAAATCGACCCGCCCTCAAGATGGGAAACGGCTGCAAATTTTAAACAAGAATGTGCGCGGCGCTGAGGCGAGAGCCACATGTTGAAAACGACCCGACCTCAATCCGTGAAGCTCTGGCAAATGTTTGAAACGAATGCGCGCGGCGCTAAGGCGAGAGCCTCATGTTGAAAAAGTACCGCCCTCAATCCGTGACGCTCTTGCTGATGTTGAAATGCGAATGTACGCGGCGCTAACGCGAGAGCCACATTCTGAAAACGACCCGCCCTCCATCGGCGAAGCTGTTGCCACTTTTTAAATTTGAAAGCTTCAGAATCAAACATGGTGGGGAAGTCGCAGGCGAAACGCCCGGCCCGCCCTAAAAACTGGCCTCTGGGTGCAATAGGGGGAAGTTATCTGTAAGGAGATGGAATGGAGGAGGAGGATGAGCAGGACGGGGAGCAGGAGGATGAGCAGGAGCAGGAGCAGGAGCAGGGGCAGGAGGAGTAGGAAAAGGAGGATGGGGAGGAGGACCAGTGTAAACCCAAGAGTCATCAACGATGTTGGAATTAACCCTCCTTCCGAGCTCCTTCTTCATAGGCGCCCACAACGGCTCATTTCCACTGAGAGAACTACCTCGTTGTAAGAGAACCGTTCGAAGACCCTGAAGCATGCCAAATCATTGTTCTCGGGATACCAACGCCACGTATCTACCTGACTACTGCGTCTTGACGATCTGGAATCGTGCCTGAGCGCCAGTTTCAGGACTTCGCAACACCACGGATCAGCATAATTGTTGTGCCCGCATAGTCCGGAACCCTTCCAAAACACCCTTTCTGGTACGTTGGCCATGGGATTCCTTACGACCATTTTTCACATGTTTGGAATACGCGCGGCGCTGAGGCGGGAACCACATGTTGAAAAGGAGTCGCCTTCAATCCGTGAAGCTGTCGCACATGTTTGAAACGAATGTGCGCGGCGCTGAGGCGAGAGCCACATGTTGAAAAGGAGCCGCCTTCAATCCGTGAAGCTTTTGCACATGTTTGAAACGAATGTGCGCGGCGCTGAGGCGAGAGCCACATGTTGAAAACAACCCGCCCTCAATCCGTGAAACCTTTTGCAAACTGTTAAAACGAATGTGAGCGGCGCTGAGGCGAAAGCCACATTTTGAAAACGACCCACCCTCAAATTCGTGAAGCTTTTGCACATGTTTGAAACGAATATGCGCGGCGCTTTTGTGAGAGCCACATGTTTAAAAAATGTTGAAAATGGCCCGCCTTCCTTTTGTGAAACGGTTGTCAATTTTTACGTCTCAGAGTCATACATGGTGATGAAGTCTCAGGCGAAACGCCTGGCCCGCCCTAAAAAAATGCGTCGGGGTGCGACATGGAGAAGTTGTTCATAAAAGGAGAAGGAATTGAGGAGGAGGAGGAGGAGGAAGAGGAGGAGAGGAGGAGGAGGTAGGAGAGGAGGATGTCATCGTGAGGAGGAGGAGAGGAGGATGAGGATGGGGAGGAGTGAGGAGTAGGAGGAGGAGGAGGAGGAGGAGGAGCAGGGTGTGCGAGGGGAGCGTGGAAAGGCAACGATCGAGAGAGATAGACAGACAGCAGGAGGGCGGAGGGGAGGCCAGGAAGCGAAGGGGCAAGCCTCTCCCAGGGAGGGGTCTCGCCGCTCCATCCTCCTCCTCACCCTCCTCCTCCTCCTCCTCTCTCCTCGTTCCTCACCCTCCTCTGCCTCCCCTCTGCTCCCCTCCTCCTCCCTCCCCTCATCACCCTCCTCCCACTCATCATCCTCCTACTCTCCTCCCCTCCTCCTCCTTCATCCTCCTCCACAATCCTCCTCCGCATCCCTCCTCCTCCTCCTCTTCTTCTACTCCCCCTCCTCCTCCCTTCCTCCTTCTCCTCCTCCTCCTTCCTCCTTCTCCTCCTCCTCCTCCTCCTGCTCGTCCTCTCCTCCTCCTCCTCCTCCTCCCTCCTCCTCCTCCTCCTCGTCCTCCTCCCCTCCTCCTCCTCCTCCTCCGCCTCTCCTCCTCCTCCTCCGCATCCTCCTCCTCCTCTCCTCCCCCTCCCTGGGGAGGGCCCCGCTGGCGCGGGAGGGCGCGGCGCGGGCCGCGCCGCGCCCTCGCGCGGCGGCGGCGCGCTGGCCGCGGCCTCGGCGTGGCTGGCCGCGGGGCGGCGCGGCGCCCCCGCCGCGCTCGCGGAGGCGCACGGGGGGGCGGGTGGGGCGGCGGGGCACGCCGCCGCCCGGCGCGGCGCGCTTCGAGCCCGCGGTTCGAGGTGCCGATACAGATACGCTCGCGCTTTTGGTTTGTAAGATATGTATATATATATATATATATATATATATATATATGTGCAGATACATATGCATATACATATAACGGCGCACCGGGTCCGGGGGCCCGGGGCCGGGACCCCGACCACAAATGTGGGCTCCGGGGGGCCCGGAGGCTCGTCGGGGCTTGCCGGAGGCCTCCCCGGTCAGACAAGACGGCCCCAGGAGCGCCCAAGACGGCCCAAGAAACTTCCAAGAGGCCTCCAAGAGGGTTCCGAGATGCTGAAGATGGCCTCCAGACGTCCAAGGACGCCCCCAAGAGGCCCCCAGAAGCCTCCAACATGCGTCCCAAGAGGGCCCCTAGACGCAAAAAATTGCCAATTCCCTTCGTAAAACGTACATTTTCAACAAAAGTAGCCTTTTGGGCTTCGACGTTACAGGACGGCCCAAGAGGCGCCCAAAGACCGCACGTACAAGGACGCGCCCAAGAAGCCGCCAAGAGTGGCCCCAGGGACAGCCAAGAGCGCTGTGGGCCAAGACGGGCCCAAGAGGCGCCCACAGATGCCAAGAGGGCCCCAAGACGGCCCAAGAGGGGCCAAGGGGGACCACGAACGCCAGCTCGAGGCCTTTCCGCCCCAAGAGCCGCCAGGAGGCCCCCAGGAGCCCCTCAAGAGGCCCCAGGAGACCCCAACGTCCAAGGACGCCCCCAAGACGCCCCAAGAAGCCTACAACATGCGTCCCAAGAGGGCCCCTCGACGCAAAAATTTGCCCATTCCCTTCGTAAAACGTACGTTTTCAACAAAGTTGTCTTTTGGGCTTTCCGACGTTACAGGACGGCCCAAGAGGCGCCCAAGACCGCCCCAAGACGGCCCAAGAAGCTTCCAAGAGGGCCCCAGGACAGCCCAAGAGGGCCCCAAGACGGCCCAAGAGGCGCCCAAGATGGCCCAAGAAGGCCCCAAGACGGGCCCAAGAGGGGGCCCAGAGGGGGACCACGAACCGCAAGCTCGAGCCTTCCGCCCCAAGAGGCCGCCAGGAGGCCCCCAGGAGGCCCCTCAAGAGGCCCCAGGAGACCCCAGACGCCCAAGGACGCCCCCAAGACGCCCCAAGAAGCCTCCAACATGCGTCCGAAGAGGGCCCCTAGGCGCAAAAATTGACCCATTCCCTTCGTAAAACGTACATGTTCAACAAAATCGCCTTTTAGGCTTTCCGACGTTACAGGACGGCCCAAGAGGCGCCCAAGACCGCCC